AGAGCAGTGGGGGTGCCCGGCCTGGAGCGGGGAGGGGGGAGGACGCCAGCCAGGGCCCGTTGGCGGCCCCTCCGCTAAGCACCCGAAGCAGGAGCCAGATTAACTGGTGGCTGTCGCGGAAGAAGCTCCAAGGCGTCTAGCGAGAAACAGCACCCGGTTTATGCACTTCTCTGCAAGGTGCCAGTGGCTGAAAGGGGGGCGGTTTTCAGGGGGGGGCGCTGGCATCGCCCGTTTCAAAATGCCAGTCCTCATGGCTATCGAGCTGAGACGGAAAAGAACAGGTGGAGCACCTTGGTGCCACCATCTCGACTTTTTTGACCACCCCTGCTCCACCCGGTGAATCATAGCTGGTGCAAATACCATTCCTTATATTCCAGCAATGGAGGGCACGGTCCTTCGTGCGGGAAGCCTGGCTCCCCCCCTAAAAGACACGGAAGGAAAACACACACTTTTGTTCCAACCCGCAAATAGCTTGTCGGAAAACAGAGCCAGGCCCAAAAATACCTTTCCAACTATATAAAATTATAGATAAAAGCGACTTCAACAAACAGGCTGGCAGTGAATCGAGGCTGAGCTCGTCTAGAAATCGTGTTTATTCGTTTCAGCATAATTCTGATTTTTTAAAAAATGTGTGTATTTTTCAGGGAATGACCGCCAGCATTTCGTCAGGGCTCTCTCGAGGGTTTTTCAGAGGACTGAGCTGCGGGTGACGGCCGCGGGTGACGTGCCGCCATCGAGAGGAGAGTCTTCCTTGCTGTTGTAGACAAAATACAGGACAGCTGGTCTTAAAAAAAGTCCACTTTTGAGGAAGCAAAACAAGGTGAAACACCACACACTCCCCATCCGTTTCAGGTTTTGCTGTTCTACGCCTCTGGGCATTTGGAAAAACACTCCCAGTCCGAGCCTCGGGGATGTTTTTAAAACAATATTTACTTCACCCGGCGAGTTGCCTCCCTCAAAACCGACTTTGTATCAGGGCCGGCAAACTTTTTTTTCCCATCGCTCCGCAAACAGCTGACATTCCTGCAGTTTCCAATTACGTTTCTCCTGGGCGGCTCAAAAATCAGGACCGTCAGGATGGGCAGGACGTGAAATCTGCTGAAATTGCCGAGCGCTCGGTGGCCTTGAGAGCTGGGTTCAAAATGCGCGCATTCTCGTTTTCTCAGGCCCTGCGGCCGGGTGGCTCCTCAGGGCCCGGGTCTCGCTCTGCCACCCGGAAGCCAAACCTGGCTATAGTTTCACTGCTGGCTTTGGGGAACCAAACTGAACTGTTTCTTTTCTGCATTTTCACGGGCAAATATCACACGCTCTGGGTAATACTTTCTTCCGCCAAGATTTGCAAACTGCTTGGCCAATGCCCCTGAAGTTGTAAGGCTACCCAGATTCACAGCCGTGTCTCTGCTATTCCCGCAAGATCTCAGCTGTCCGAGTAAGACAAACGGGAGCCAAAAGGGGAAGAGAAAACTTACTTGAGATGTTCAAGGAAAAAGAGAAAGTTTCATTTCGGTTTCCTCCTCAGCAGGCGCCTTCCCTTCGCAAAAGGATTCGGGACCCACCTCCGCCTGTCAAAAGCAAAACAGAGCTTTATCGCGTCCTTGAGGAACTAACAGCCAATAATCACCGTATTTCTACCGGCATTGCATCTTCCCAGATCCATATTTGAGATTTTTTTCATCCACCTCGCATTCGTAACAGCACTGAAACCAAACAATAGTTAAAAGCAGGCTGGAGAAAGCGAGATAAGAGAAAGGAGGTTTCGAGGCCTGTCTTTTCGTAATCCCTTGCATGCTGGTATCAACCCTCCTCCGCTTGGATTTCAGTCCCGACTTTTCCACCCGCAAAAAGCACATTTATTTTTCTCGCCCCTCTTTTTGTTCCCATCGGAAGGCAGTCAAGCTTCAGCCAGCCCAGGTCCGAACCTGGCTGAGGTCATTTGATTGAGGCGAAGCAAAACGAGGGGAAACTGTCCTGCATTAATTGCCCCCCAGGGATGTCCGATGGAAATGGTGGAGGAAGTCACGATAAAAAGGTCATCAGAAACGCCCACCAAAACCAGGAGGAGCTTTCGTCACCCCGTTGCGGCCAGCACCTTGCTGTTCTGGACCCCCCTGGATTCCCCCCACCCCAAACCAGTTGGAAAGGCAAACCATACTGTACGGAGGCTGTTGGTGGGGCTGAAGCAAGCGCAGAGCTCGTGGTCCGTGACCATCTGCCGGGATGCGGCCAACACCCGCTGCAGCTTGCTGGTGGGCGAGCAGGCGTCCTAGGAAGAAGCAGGACAAAAATGGGTTGGGAATTTTCCGTCCAAGAAAAGTCAGAATGAATTGTGTTAATGAGCGAACAAACGGTCTTCGCTAAGAGCAAATGGAGAAAAATTTGAGAGTGGCTCGGCGGGACGGCCCCAGACCACCTCCATGACCAGCTCTCAGGAATGGAAGAAATGGGAGGCGGGCATCACACCCTGTGGGTCTTCCAGGGCTGGGTACGGGCCGAGAAGCAGCTTGGTCCAGATTGCGAACCAAAGGAGAGGAGGCAGAAATTCCAATCTGGATTAAGAGGCCTGCAGCCAGAACCTTAACATCAGCAATAGCAGCAGCTGAAGGATGTGTTTGGGTGTGTGTGTGTGTGTCTGTGTGTGGCTGCAAAGGAGCTAGATTTGGGGAAATGCTCCCCAGAGGGGCAGGTCGTGTTGGATCAAGAGCCCCAGAACGTCCTGGGGCCAGGCTGTCTTTCAGTCACCGATACTTACCTGACGGAGGGAAGGGTAGCAACACCCGCTGGGTGCCGGAAGCTCTGAAGGACCGTCTGGGCCTGGCAGCGTCTCCTTTGACTTTTGGGTCGATGTGAAACGCGGCACATCCAAGTCAAAAGCGTGCAGGCTCGCTCCGTGGTCGCTGTGAAACCATCATCATCGTCATCAGTAACAGCACTAATCTCAGGGTTATTAATAGTTGTTTAGCTGGTTTCCTGAGAAAATCGGATAAATGCCAGGCGGGGTCGGTGGGCATTGAAACGGCACCGGCGTCATGCCTACAATCTACAAAGTGCAGATGACTGGAATCTGTTCAATGGGTGGTTAGGTGTAACATCTCAAAGAATATTTTTCAGAGTAAACCGGAGTTGCTCAAAGGACAGTCACTCATAATTACGAGCCACCTCCAAACTACTGAACAGGAAGGGTCTTCCGGAGCCAGCACAGACTGGTGTGTTTCTCAACCTTGGGAACTTGAAGATGGGCGGACTTCAACTCCCAGAATTCCCCACCCATCATCATCATGGAACTTGACTAAGATTTCAGAGCTGATTCTAGCAACGCAGTCATATCTGACGCTCATGAGTAACTTAGTTTGCAGGAAACTATTCTAAATTCTCTCCCCATCTTCCCCCCAGTTAAAGAACTGGGGAACACCATGACGAACTAGCTACCCTTGCAAAGCAGTCTTACCCATTATCTCATTTTTAATGCAGCGTTTCTCAACCCCTGGGGACCATTTTTTAATAATCGCGCCTGGGTGCAACGAACCACACCCTGACCAACCAACAAACAGGAAGGGTGCGAGCCGTGGTGC